CCTAAGTGGTAATATGAGAACGTATCAAACAGACTGAATTTGGCCACAGCATAAAGCCTGATTCCCCATTGGTTCTTCAGTTCAAGTTTGCCCTTAACTGGTGATATGAGAACGTATCTAACTCCCCACTCACGTTTATAACACAATGACGACTCTCAGAGATTGGACAGGTACATTAACTGTCCCTCTTGAGTGCAGATGACAGAACATATCTCATCACCCTTTCACTAATCATCCACCTAAGACAGATTTTCATGTATCTTCCAACTTCTTTCTGTTTCTCTACTGCAAAAACACAACCATGGCGGTCAATATGGTGTCGATATGTCACTCGGTGTCTTTATGTGGTGTATTATTTAGCTGTGAATCTTTGAGGACCTGGGCGTGGTTATGTCTTAAGGATCTGGGCGTGGCTATACCATAAGGACCTGGGCGTGGCTGTACCATAAGGACCTGGGCGTGGCTACACTTAAGAACCTGGACGCCACTGATCTGACCACGCTTCTTATCTCGTTAAAGGTCACTGGGTCACACACCTGGTGGCATCTCTTATGTCTGTTGCCAGGGGTCACGGGGTCACTAATCAGGTGCCATCATCTTATCTTGGTAGAGGTCACGGGGCCACTAACCTGTGAGTGGGAGGGTACACATCAAAGCGGTAAGGTGTAGATGAGGAGTACACAGTGGTTGGTTGTGTGAGTCGAGTGTTGTGTGAGTCGAGTGTTGTGTGAGTCGAGTGTTGTGTGAGTCGAGTGTTGTGTGAGTCGAGTGTTGTGTGAGTCGAGTGTTGTGTGAGTCGAGTGTTGTGAGTCGAATTACCTACACCCAGATATACAGAGTCGTATACAGTACACATATTTACATACACACATGGGAAAACATACACTCACACAATGTTTATTCTCATTCTCTCTATATATTTCTATTCACTCGTTTTGACTCTTATCTTCTTCTTTTCCACGCTTCTCTGTCTTCCTATCTCTCCCCCCACCCCCCTTCTCTGATTTCTTTTTATTTATGCTTCTCTCTGTCTTTGTATTTCTCTGAACCCCTTTCCTCTCATCTTCCTCTCCCCAACTTTCTTTTCTCTTCCTCCTTCACCTCCTTCCTTTCCCCTCCCTCCCTCACCCTCCCTCCCTCTCCCCCTCCCACACAGGACACACCCCGCCTTCAGCACATAAGGGAGCCAATGTGTCTCAACAGTGGGGGCTGTGTGGGCGCTGGTGGCGGTGGTATGCGTCTTAATCTGTGCATCTTCTTACGACAACCTCCTGTAAACGACGACTTCTAGTACACCACGACCTCCTGTACACGACGACCTCTAGTACACCACCTCCAACACACACCACTGAGTTTCTTCGTCTGTCTTATCTCTCTGTCTCCGTCTGTCTTATCTCTCTGTCTCCGTCTGTCTTCTCTCTCTGTCTCCGTCTGTCTTCTCTCTCTGTCTCTCTCTCTCCGCCATAATATGTTCTTTGTACCAACACTTTCCCCTTCTTCCATTTTCGTCTTCTCAGCCAGTGAAATGAAGCCTCTGATTTATTCCTTGGCGTGGTAAGGAGGGAAGGGGGGGGGAGCTCTGTGTTTACTGGGTGTGGGGGGTGTAGGAGAGGGCAAGAGAGAGGGAGAGAGGGGCAAGAGGGAGGGAGGAGAGGAGCAAGAGAGAGGGAGAGAGGGGCAAGAGAGAGGGAGAGAGGAGCAAGAGGGAGGAGGAGAGGAGCAAGAGGGAGGAGGAGAGGAGCAAGAGGGAGGAGGAGAGGAGCAAGAGGGAGGAGGAGAGGAGCAAGAGGGAAGGAGTGAGGAGGAAGAGAGAGGAAGGGGCAGACTTGACTCCTACTAATGAACCGCTCTCAGTACTTGATTAAACAGATCTTGTATTCACCTCTGAGCTCCCTCTCCCCTCCGTCCCCCTCTCCTCCGCCCTCTCCCTACTCTCACCACGTCATTTTGCATCCTAACCTAACCTAACCTAAACCTAACCTAACCTAAAGCTAACCTAAGCCTAACCAAACCTAACCTAACCTAACCTAACCTAACCTAACCTAACCTAACCTAACCTAACGTAACCATGAAAATGTAAACTGTTTCTCATTAAGGTGAAGAAATTATTAACCAAAAAGTATTATACCATTTTAGTTATTACAGAAAGAGTTGATGTAATGGTGGTAAAGGTGTGGGTACCAGGTGTTGGGTGTGGTACCAGAGTGTTAGGGTGTGGGTACTCAGTGTAGGTGTGGAGTACCAGATATTAAGGTGTGGAGTACCAGGTGTTAAGGTGTGGTACCAGGTGTTAGGGTGTGGAGTACCAGGTGTTGGGTGGGTACCGGGTGGGGTGTGGATGCCAGGTGTTGAGTGTGGGTACCAGGTGTTAAGGTGTGGTACCAGAGTGTTAAGGTGTGGTACCAGGTGTTAGGGTGTGGGTACCAGGTGTTAAGAGTGTGGGTACCAGGTGTTGGGGTGTGGGTACAGAGTGTTTAGGTGTGGGTACTGCCAGGTGTTAGAGTGTGGGTACCAGGTGTTGGGGTGTGGGGTACCAGGTGTTAGGGGTCAGGTGCACCAGGTGTTTAGGTGTGGGTACCAGGTGTTGGGGTGTGTGCCAGGTGTTAAGGTGTGTGGGTACCAGGTGTTAGGGTGTGGGTACCAGGTGTTGGGGTGTGGTACCAGGTGTTAGGTGTGGTGCAGAGTGTTGGGTGTGGGTACAGGTGTTAGGAGTGTGGTACCAGGTGTTAGGGTGTGGGTACCAGGTGTTAGGAGTTGGGTACCAGGTGTTGGTGTGGGTACCAGGTGTTAAGGTGTGGGTACCAGGTGTTGAGATGTGGGTACCAGGTGTTGGGGTGTGGGTACCAGGTGTGGGGTGGGTACCAGGTGTTGGGGTGTGGGTACCAGGTGTTGGGAGTGTGGGTACCAGGTGTTGGTGTGGGTACCAGGTGTTTAGGTGTGGGTACCAGGTGTTAGGGTGTGGGTACCAGGTGTTGGGGGTGTGGTGCAGGTGTTGGGGTGTGGAGTACCAGGTGTTGGGGTGTGGTACCAGGTGTTGGGGTGTGGGTACCAGGTGTTGGGTTCATAAGGTAAATTGGCTCTGGTCTTTATTCTTGTTGGTTTACTTTTGGGGAATAATTCTGCATTTTTTTTTTTTTTTTTTCAGAATTTTGTAATGATGTAAAAAGTTGGTTTGTTGAATTATAGTGTGTTGTTGTTGTTGTTTATTTATTTGTTCTTCTTCTTCTTCTTCTTCTTCTTCCTGCTATTATTCATCAGTGTCAGCCATGTGTGTGTGTGTGTGTGTGTGTGTGTGTGTGTGTGTGTGTGTGTGTGTTCTCCTCCTGCATACCCTTATGTTTACTCCCTACGTATCATCGTGTTGACTCTCTCTCTCTCTTCCTGTTCGTTGGCGCACCTGTATCACCCCACCTGAGACTTGTGGAATGTGCTTTGTGTAATGGCCTAGTGATGTAGTGGGGGTGGGGGGATGGAGGGAGAGTAGAAAGGTGGAGGGAGGAGAGGAAGGGGAGGGGGGGGGAGGAAGTAAGAGAGGGGAAGGGATGACAAAGTGGACCTCTTACTTTTGAACGGATGAGATTCCTCTTCCTCCTCTACTTCCTCTACGTCTTCTTCTTCCTCCTCTTCCTCCTCTTCTTCCTCCTCCTCCTTTACGTCCGTTCCTAGTTGGTTCTGTCTTATCAATTCCTTTATTATGTCTTAACCTCCTTCCTGTCGTCTCACATCTAACTAACTGTCTCTCCTCCTTCCGTCTAAAGTCCTTCTGCCTCGCCCTCCTTCCCGCCCTGAGCTCTTCCTTCCATTATCTTCCGCCTTTGCTCCTCTCATTTCCTTCCGCCCTTGTCTTCTTCTCTTCTTCCGCCTTCGTCCTTCTCTTTCCCCCTTCCGTCTTCTTCTGCTCGTCTCTTTTCCTTCCTTCCTTCGTTAGTTCCTTTCGCCACTTCTGTCCCGTTTCGTCCTGACTTATGCTCTCCTTCTACCTCATTCTCCCTCCCTTCTACCTCCTTCTCCCTCCTTCCTCCTTCTCCCTCCTTCTACCTCCTTCTCCTCCTTCCTTCTCCTCTTCCCCCCCCCCCCCTCTTCTTATTAATTTCAATCGTATCGTGGAGGTACTGGTGGGGGAGAGGAGAAGGAGGAAGAGGAAACAGGGTGTGGAAGGAAGGGAGGAAAGGAGGGAAGAGGAAGACAGGGAGCAGAGATTGAGGTGTGTGGGAGGGGGGGTGTGTGGGGAGGGAGGTGTGTGGGGAGGTGTTCAATGTTTTATTATCAAAGTATGTCGGTATATACAGGAACATGTCTCTGTCTGTCTGTCCCTGTGGTAGTAGGGTGATGGTAGTAGGTGTAGTGGTGATGGTGGTCCCATGGGTAGTAGTGGGTGATGGTGGTAGGTGTAGTAGTGATGGTGGTAGGTGTAGGTAGTGGTGATGGTAGGTGTAGTGTGATGGTAGGTGCTGGTAGTGATGGTGGTAGGTGAAAAGATGGTGGTAGGCTGAAAGGATGGTGGTAGTAGTGGTGATGGTGGTAGGTGCAGTGGGTGATGGTGCAGGTAGTAGTGATGGCGGTAGGTGTAGTAGTGATGGTGGTAGGTGTAGTGATGGTGGTAGGTGCTAGGGGTGATGGTGGTAGGTGTAGGTGATGGTGGTAGGTGTAGTGGTGATGGTGGTAGGTGGTAGTGGTGATGGTGGTAGGCAGTGATGGTGGTAGGTGAAGGGTGATGGTGGTAGGTACTGGTAGTGATGGTGGTAGGTACTGGTAGTGATGGTGGTAGGTACTGGTAGTGATGGTGGTAGGTGCTGGTAGTGATGGTGGTAGGTACTGGTAGTGATGGTGGTAGGTACTGGTAGTGATGGTGGTAGGTGCTGGTAGTGATGGTGGTAGGTGCTGGTAGTGATGGTGGTAGGTACTGGTAGTGATGGTGGTAGGTGCTGGTAGTTGTGGTGACTGTAGGTACTGGTATAAGACTCGGGACACTCAGTAAATCATCATGTTTCCTCCTGCAGGTGGCTACAGGATGACAGTGACGAGGATGAGGGGCAAGATGGCCATGCTGGTGAGGGTGATGGTGAGGGAGGCCATGAGGGTGAGGGAGCACCAGGTGAGGAGGAAGATGAGGAGAAGAAGGCTGGGGATCCGCCCGTGGTAATGGGTGACCCGCCCCCAGCGTCATCCTCACTAGCTGGGGGTCAGAGTGCTCCAGAGGACACAGGGGTGGCTGAGGCGCGTGCCCTGAGCGACCCCCAGGGAGGGGGTCATCCCCCCCGCTCCCCACTTACCTCCCTCCAGCACACCGCCGCTGCCCAGAGCCCAGCCTCCACCGCCAGCGCCGCCACCCTCCACAGTCTTACACGGGGCACTAGTCGTCTGCCACACCACGCCGTCCCGCACCACCACCCACACCTTCCCTCTCACCCAAACAGCACTGGGGAGGCCTCAGACGGACAACACCTGAGGGACGGCGTCACGGAGGACCAGGACGAGACGTACCAGTACATGATAAGGAGTTCAGTGTTTAGTGAAGGTGCTCGTGTTACTGAGTGTGATGGTGTGGTGCCCCTGACTCATCCCCAGGCGGGTGCCACAGTCATGGTGGCGCGGACTGAGACTAACAAGGCAGGGAAGGTCACGTCCTGCCCTGACGATCTGCAGTCTCTCTCCTTACTGACGGTGCAGGTCAAGCAGGACTTGGCAGATCCTGTCAGTGCCACGCCGGCCCCGCTCACCCTGACTACACAGGATGCTGACGGTGGTGCCATCCCGGCCACTGGCACCTGTGATACCGGTAGCGACGGCCCGCCCACACCCTCCACCTTCTGTAGTGACGGGGAGGAGCAGGAGGTTGAGGTGGGCGGGGAGAGGAGGAGCAGCGAGGACACCCCAGAACCTCCAGACTTCTCTACCCACCCCATGTGTACAGGTAAGTGTTCACCTCACCACTAAGACCCTCACCTTACACCGTCAATGATCAACCAAACAACATAATTATTTTTCCTACAACGTGACACATTTTTTAGTGTTGACTGGTGGTAGAGAAGGACGGTAAATGATCTGTAGAAGGAGGAGGTCAAGAGGGTGGCGGGGGCCTCCCAGGACGTGTGTAACTTACGGTGGCCTCCCTATACCGCTAATGACATCTCTCAGGGTGTCACCTCCGTTACGGCCACTAATGAGGCACCTTCACCTGTATGGCGTGGAAGACGGATGAGTAATAGAGGGGCGTAGGTGTTTTTAGGGGCGGGGGCAGGGGGCAGGGGAAGGTCAGATCTGAAGAGGAATTGATCTAGTGTTATATACAGTAATGTTATACTTATTACACGAAGAAGCGAAGGGCTGTGTAGTGGAGATGCCTGAGAGAGAGAGAGAGAGAGAGAGAGAGAGAGAGAGAGAGAGTATAGATTTTACGTGAGACAAGCGCCTGATACTTAGCGTGAGCCTTACGTTCCGTCCGGGGCTCTACCTCACCCCCGAACCCCTGCAGCAGCTAGAAGTCTCCGGGAAAAGGTAGAAACAAAGGCAAGAGTTAACGTTCTAAAGTAAATAATCTGCGGCTGGCGGCCTGAGAGGGAGGGTGGAGAGGGTGCAGGGGTTGTGGGGGTGACTTGGCTATATAGAGGGATTCCATGTAGGGCATTTGACCTTAAAAGTCTCCTGCATATTGCTGTGGGAGGGGAGGGGTCGTGTCCCTATGAGGCGCTCACCTGTGAAAGTAATCAAGAGTTGTTTCGGTGCCAGTTGAGTCTCGTCTGGAAAACAACCCTGATGTACGGTAGTAGATGGTGTTGAATGTTGTGGAGGTCTGGAACATAACCCTGATGTACTGTAGTAGATGGTGTTGAATGTTGTGGAGGTCTGGAGCATAACCCTGAAGCAGAGTTGGTAAAACATTTGCTTAAGCAAAAAACATTGTTTTTAATGCTACAATGTTTGCTTTAATAAATTTTACGTAAAGATAAATTAAAATTTGAGTGAATTCTGTTTTAAGTAACAGATATCAGTATAATACAATACGGGGACATGTATTTTGGTTTTTGTATTTTACCAATAAGTTATAATTTATTTAAGGGACTTGTGATTTGTTCCTTCATGAAGTTTGATAATTTACCTTTATTAAAATACTGTGTCGTACAACAGGAAATTATTTACAAAGTTGACTGATGGATAATACTGTACAAGATTGATCTGTTTATAAACCGCACTTAAAGATAAAATATACAGTAACACTAAATTACCCAAGAGGCCTAGAACAATGGTGGTTAGGTTAGGTTCATACGTCTCTAATCACCAGGTATACTGAGAGAGAAATTATTGGATATAAGGGCGGGGAAGGACCAATGAGCACACACCGTACCCGCATAGATGTGCATTCTGCTTAGCCACAGGTAAACGAGCAGTGTAGCGCATAACGATGGTGTGTAGGACAGGTGAGCGAGAGAGAGAGAGAGGGGTCTTTCACCTTTCCTCCACACCACTTAACTTGTATTCTTCGCTCCAGTTTCGTTAGCCCATGGACTCTTCCTCCCTCCTCTCCTTTCTCCCCCCCCCCCTCCCCTTCTATTTCTCTCCCTCTGCCCCTTACCTCTGTTCCTCCTCCTTCTCCAACCCTCCCATCCTCTTCCTCTCCTCCCTCTCTCATCTCCTCCTCTCCTTCCCCTTCCCTTCTCTTCTCCTTCCTCTCCTTTCCTCTATCCTCTCCCATCCTCTTCCTCTCTCTACCTCCCTCCCCTACCCCTCCTCCATCCCTCCCTCCCCCTCCCCTCCCCTCCCTCCCCTCCCCACTCCCTCCCTCCCTCCCTCCCTCTCCCTTCCTCCCCACTCCCTCCCTCCCACTCCGTCCCTCCCACTCCCTCCCTCTCACTCCCACTCATCCTCACAGGTCTAAACCCTTAAAACCGGTTCCTTAATCTTTATTTCAGAAACAAAATTAATATCGATACAAAGCCAAGTGACCTTATTAACAAACTGTAACACAATTGTAATCTCACTGGCACTTAGGTTGCAATATGTTGACACTTAAGTTGCAATATGTTGACACTTAAGTTGCAATATGTTGACACTTAAGTTGTTAGATGTTGACACTTAAGTTGCAATATGTTGACACTTTAGTTGCAATATGTTGACACTTAAGTTGCAAGATGTTGACACTTAGTTGTTAGATGTTGATACGTAGCTGAAAAAAAATATCACCTTTTAAAACTTTATGCTGCAAACTTTTGACACAATGTTGCAAACTGGTAAGACAATGTTGCACACGCTCTCAACAGTGAACTTTATGCTCAGAACACTGGAGACTTTGTGGTTGTTATCACTTAGTTGTAAAGGGAAGACAGAATGTATTTACTAAGGAGGAAGAGGAGAGGCAAAAAAGTAATAAATGAGGAAGAAGAAATAGAAGAAGATGGAAGATGGGGGATGTAAAAAGAGTGATGAAAAGAGGAGGAAGGAAAAGAAGAAGAGGAGGAAGGAGAAGAATCACCTCTTTTTCATCTCTCTCTCTCTCTCTCTCTCTCTCTCTCTCTCTCAACAAGTGTTTTGTGTGTGTGACATCAAGTTCACTATTTTATTATCACTTATTGTCCGCCATTACAGATAATTACCATATTATTTGTCCCTTTATTTGTGTATAATTTTAACTTTTATTTATTTTTGTGACTTAATTTATTCTACGTTTTTTGTACTCATATGTTCTTATTTTTTCGTTTTTGTTTTGATTTTATTTAGTTTTTTTTTTAGTTTTTTTTCGTTTACATTTTAGATTATTATTATTATTATTATTATTATTATTATTATTATTATTATTATTATTATTATTATTATTATTATTATTATTATTATTATTATTATTATTATTATTATTATTATTATTATTATTATTATTATTATTATTGTGGAATGATTTACAGGTATAATGATCCACCGTAGTAAAGGTTAGGTGATTAATGTACCTCTAGCAGGAGAATGATTTACTCCCTGCAAGGTAAAGGTAGAATGATCCTTAATTACGTCAGGTTCAAGGTAAAAATACAGGTAAAACGAACTCCGTAATTACAGGTAAGGTCACGCACTGGATGGCTGGGCTCAGTAAACAAGGCTTATATCGCTAATTTCCCGCCAAACAGCTGTTGTTGATCTTGTATGACGTCATCGCGTCTCTGTGTTGACAAGACCAAGTGAAAATCCTCTTCCGGCACGACGCGACGAGGTGTTTGATCTATGACGTCATCTTGGCAGGATCGACCAATCAGATTTGATATTTATGTAATGACGTCATGGAGTTAGCCAATCAGAGATCTTTTTTTAAATTACATCATGAGTTAGGACCAACCAAGCTTCTCTCGTTACTAGCATCATGAGATTCAACTAATTAGAGTATTGCTTAGGAATGATATCATGTGAATTGACCAACACAGACATTCTCTCCAAGGATTTAAAATAGATTGACCAAATAACAGACAACAGAGCCTTTTATTCCTTCATTTTTTTTATTAAGGTGTAGGCGACAGCTGGTGTTTAGTTACAAGTGGAGGTTTGGTACTTGAGGAAGGTAGAGTGTGTGGAGGTAACAGAGGCCGTCTTGTTGTGAGAGCTGGACACTTGCTGCATCTGTGATCTCTCTCTCTCTCTCTCTCTCTCTCTCTCTCTCTCTCTCTCTCTCTCTCTGATTGGCGTTAAGGGTCGCCGTTCGTACAAGAAGACAAGGTGTCGTGTCCCGTTGATGATACACTTCCGGCGTTCGTTAATGTACACACACACACGTAACAATAAGGTTTTTCTAGATGCATTAATGACAACCTAACCTAACCTAACCTAACTAACCTAACCTGGACCTGACCTGGACCTGACCTGGACCTAACCTGGACCTGACCTGGACCTGACCTGGACCTAACCTCACCTAACCTCACAGTTACCTTGTTTGTCTCACCTGTTCATAATTAACCTGAGACAGAGGAGCTTAATTACGGGTTACTTTAATAGACATTAGTTTAATTAAAGTTATGGTTAGTTTGGTAAATGGCCGCTTAATTAAGGTGTATGCACAGGGGGGGGAGGGTCGAGAGTATCCGCCAGGGCAGACAGAAAAGCGGCGAGTGAAATGTGCCAGGCGTTTTTCCCTAGTCCGTGTTGTTGGCTGGTGTGACCTGTGACCTTAAACGAGGGTCCAGTCCTAACCGAACCTAACCTGGACTAACAACCCTAACCCTAACCTAGCTTCTAAATTCTACTTAATCTAACTTAACCTGGACCTAACTTAACCTAACCTGGACCTACACGGTGGTACATCAGGTGTAAACAAACAGGTGTGTGGTCTCTCACCTGTCCAGCCGCTTGTGATACCAACCATTACCCTGACTATAAACATAATTGAAATTAAGGCAAATTATAATTAAGGCAATCCCGGCCCCCCTCACCCCCCCCCTCACCCCTCGTCACCCCCTCACCCCCCTTGGTCACACCTCCCACCTGGACAATTTCAACAGGTGGTCAGATAATTAACGTCGATGGTACTTGAGGTCAAAATTTTCAGGTCAGTTCCATGACCTCTATGAAAAGAGCGTCGGATTGGCTCCTGGATGTTGCAAGCCTGACCTGACCTGACATGACCTAAATACCTGGTTATACTGAGGTGACGGTATGAGGAGGTGCCATGAGGGAGGGTATGTTTACATGTTGTACTGCCAGGTCGTATATGTACTCTGGGTAATGTTTTTGTGATTATCTTAGGTCAGGATGTAACAGGTATCGTCCATAAGCATTGGTGGATGAAAGAGGAGGAGGAAGAAGAGGAGGAGGAGGCTAGGGGCAGGAGGAGGAGGAGGAAGAGGAGGAGGAGGAGGGGAGGAGGAGGCTAGGGGCAGGAGAAGGAGGAGGAGGAGGAGGAGGTGGGGGAGAGGTAGATGCAGCATTAACAGCACCACGGCA